TAGGGGACCTCAACACTCCACTCACCTCAATGGACAGATCATCCAGACAAAAAGTCAACAAGGAAATAGTATATTTAAATGAAACACTTGATCAGATGGACTTAATAGATACATATAGATCATTCCATCTGAAAATAGCAGAGTATACATTCTTCTCAAGCGCATATGGATCATTCTCAAAGATAGAACATATGTTGGGAAACAAGGCAAACTTCAATAAATTTAACAAGATTGAAATTATCCCAACCATCTTTTCTGACCACAATGCTATGAAGCTAGAAATCAACCACAAGAAAAAACTGGAAAAGTCAGAAATATGTGGAAACTAAACAACATGTTATTGAACAACCATTGGATCACTGAAGAAATCAAAGGGGAAATTAAAAAATACCTGGAGACAAATTAAAATTAAAATACAACATACCAACCCTTATGGGATACAGCAAAAGCAGTCATAAGAGGAAAATTCATAGCAATACAGGCCCACCTCACCAAGCAAGAAAAATCTCAAATAACTAATCTTAAATTGCACCTAACAGAACTATAAAAAGAAGAACAAACAAAGCCCAAAGTAAACAGAAGGAGGGAAATAATAAAAATAAGAGCAGAAATAAATGAAATAGAGAATAAAAAACAGTAAAAAGGATTAACGAAACTAAGAGCTGGTTCTCTGAGAAGATAAAACTGACAAGCTCTTAGCCAGACTCACCAAGAAAAAAAGACTGGAGGCTCAAATAAATAAAATTAGAAATGAAAGAGGAGAAATTACAACAGATACTGCAGAGATACAAAGGATTATAAGAGAATGCTATGAAAAACTATATGCCCACAAATTCGATAACCTAGAAGAAATGAATGAATTCCTAGACTCATACAACCTCCCAAAGCAGAATCAAGAAGAAATAGACAATCTGAACAGACCAATCACAAGTATAGAGATTGAAACAGTAATCAAAAACCTCTCCCCCGCCCGCCCCACAAAAAATGTCCAGGACCAGATGGCTTCTCTGGAGAATTCTACCAAACACTCAAAGAAGATTTAGTACCTATCCTTCTCAAACTATTCTGAAAAAGTGAAGAAAATGGAATGTTTCCTAACACATTCTATGAGGCCAACATTACTCTGATACCAAAACCAGACAAGGACATCACAAAAAAGGAAAACTACAGACCAATATCACTGATGAACTTAGATGCAAAAATCCTCAACAAAATATTGGCAAACCGAATGCAGCAATACATTGAAAAGATTATATACCTTGATCAAGTGGGATTTATTCCAGGGATGTAGGGATGGTTCAACATCTGCAAATCAATCAATGTGATACACTACATTAACAAATTGAGGAATACGAATCACATGATCACCTGAATAGATGTAGAGGAAGCATTTGACAAGATCCAACATCCATTTATGACAAAAAAACTCAATAAAATAGGTATAGAAGGAAAGTATCTCAATATAATAAAGGCCGTATATGATAAACCCTCAGTCAACATCATACTTAATGGTGAAAAACTGAAAGCCATCCCCCTGAGAACAGGAATAAGACAAGGATGCCCACTCTCACCACTCCTACTCAACATAGTACTGGAGGTGTTAGCCAGAGCAATTAGGCAAGAAAAGAAATAAAAGGAATCCAAGTTGGAAAAGAAGAAGTGAAATTTTCGCTATTTGCAGATGACATGATTCTATATATAGAACACCCTAAAGAATCCACCAGAAAACTATTAGAAATAATCAACAAATACAGAAAAGTTGCTGGGTACAAAATCAATTTTAAAAAATTAGTTGCATTTCTATACACTAACAATGAACTAGCAGAAAGACAAATCAAGTATACAATCCCATTTACAAGTGAAACATAAAGAATAAAATACCTAGCAATAAATTTAACCAAAGAGGTGAAAGACCTGTACACTGAAAACTATAAGACATTATTGAAAGAAATCAAAGACATAAAGAAATGGAAAGACATTCCATGTTCATGAGTCAGAAGAATAAACATAGTTAAAATGTCCATACTACCCAAAGCAATCTACAGATTCAATGTAGTCCCAATTAGAATCCCAATGACATTCTTCACAGAAATAGAACAAAGAATCCAAAAATTCGTATGGAACAACAACCTGATCAAAAAATGGGCAGAGGATCTGAACAGATATTTTTCCAAAGAGGATATATAGATGGCCAACAGGCACATGAACAACATCACTGATTATTAGAGAAATGCAAATCAAAACCACAATGAGATATCACCTCATGTCTGTAAGAATGGCTATTATTAAAAGACAAAGAATAACAAATTTTGGAGAGGACGTGAAGAAAAAGGGAACCCTTGTATACTGCTGGTGGGAATGCAAATTGGTACAGCTACTATGGAAAACAGCATGAGATTCCTCAAAAAATTCAAAATAAAATTACAGTATGATCCAGCTATTCTACCTCTGGGTATTTATCCAAACAACGTGAAAACACTAACTTGAAAAGATATATGCACCCCTATATTTATTGTAGCATTATTCACAATAGCCAAGACTTGGAAACAACCCAAGTGCCCATCACAGATGAATAGATAAAGAAGATGTGGTATAAATACACAATGGCATATGACTCGGCCATAAAAAAAAGATGAAATCTTGCCATTTGTGACATGGATGGACCTTGAGGGTATTATGCTAAGTGAAATAAGACAGATGGAGAAAGACAAATACTGTATGATTTCCACTCATATGTAGAAGATAAAAAACAAACAACCATAGCTACAAAGAACAGACTGGTAGTTACCAGAGGGGAAGGGAGGTAGAGGAAGGGGGAAGGTGTAAAAGGGTAAAGGGGCACATTTGTAGAGTGACAGATGGCAAATAGACTTTTGGTGGTGAACACAATGTACTATATACAGAAGATGCAATATAATTATGCACACCTGAAAATTATACAATATTATAAACCAATGTTACCTCAATAAAAAAAAAATAAGTAAATTTAAAAAATCTAACCACAAATGGCAAAAGAAAAAAATGGAAGATGAAAATAGGAACAAAGAACAGGTGCAATGAATAGAAAACAGTATCAAATATGGTAGATATCAATGCAACTATATCAATAATCACTTTAAACGTCAACAGTCTAAATACATCAACTAAAAGAGAGTGTCAGAGTGATTAAAAAACAAGATCCAACTATATGTTGTCTACAAGAAACCCACTTTAAATATGAGGACACATACAGATTAAAAGTAAAAGGATGGAAAAACATACCATGCTAATACTAATCAAAAGAGAGTGAGAGTAGTTATATTAATTTCAGACAGAGCAGACTCCACAGCAGGGAAAGTTATCAGGGCTAAAGACAGGTATTACATAATGATAAAGAGGTCATTTATCCAAAAAGACATAACAATCCTTAATGCATATGCACCTAACAATATGTCATCAAAATACATGAGTCAAAAAATGACAACTGCAGGGCCCGCCTGGTGGCTCAGCGGTTAAGTGCACATGTTCTGCTTTGGCAGCCCAGGGTTCGCTGGTTCAGATCCCAGGTGCGGACATGGCACCGCTTGGCAAGCCATGCTGTAGTAGGCGTCCCACATAAAAAGTAGAGGAAGATGGGCACAGATGTTAGCTCAGGACCAGTCTTCCTCAGCAAAAAGAGGAGGATTGGCAGCAGATGTTAGCTCAGCGATAATCTTCCTCAAAAAAAAAAAAGAGAACTGCAAGGAGAAGCAGATGAATTCACCATTATAGTTGAAGACTTCAGCACTCATCTATCAGAAATGGACAGATCCAGGAGGCAGAAAATCAGTAAGGACATAGCTGAACTCAACAGCACCATCAGTCAACTAGATCTAACTGACATCTGCAGACTACTTCATCCAACAGCAGCAAAACATACATTCTTCTCAAGCTCACATGGAACATAAACCAACAGGGGCCACATTCTGGCCATAAAACACATCTTAACAAATTTAAAAGAGTAGAAATCATACAATATCTGCTCTCAGACCAGAAGAGAATTAAACCAGAAGTCAATAACAGAAAGATAGGTGGAAAATCACAAAATACTTGGAGATTAAACAACACACTTCAAAATACAACGTGGATGAAAAAGAGAAACTCAAGAGAAATTTTGAAGTATTTTAAACTAAATGAAAATGAAAATACAACTTACTGAAATGTATGGGATGTAGCAAAAGTGGTGGTCAGAGTGTATAGCATTTGATATGTATATTAGAAAAGAAAGATCTAAGATCAATCATCTAAGCTTCTATCTTATGAAACTAGAAAAAGAAGAGCAAATTAAAACCAAAGTAAGGTGAAGGAAATAAATAATAAAAAACAGAGCAGAAATCAATGAAATTGAAAACAGAAAATCAATAGAGAAAAACCAATGAAACCAAAAGCTGATTCTTTGAAAAGATCAATAAAATTGATAAGCCTTTAGCCAGACTAAGAAAAAAAAGAGAGAGCACACAAATTGCTGATAACAGAAATGAAAGAGGGGAGATCACCACAGATCCCATGGACATTAAAAGGATAATAGAGGAACACTGTGAACAATCCTAGGCCCACAAATTTGATAACTTAGATGACATGGACCAATTCCTTGAAAGACACAAACACAATCTGTCAAACTCACACAAGAAGAAACAATCTGAATAGGGATATTCCTATTACAGAAATTGAATCAGTAATTAATAACCTTCCAAAACAGAAAACACGAGGCCCAGATGGGCTCATTGGTGAATTCTACCGAACATTTAAGGAAGAAATTATACCAATTTCCTAAAATCTCTTTCATTAGATAGAAACAGAGGGAATACTTCCTAACTCATTCTATGAGGTCAGGATTCCCCTAATACCAAACCAGACAAAGACATTACAAGAAAAGAAAACTACAGACCAATACCTTTCATGAACACAGATTTTAAAAATCCTCAAAAAACATTAGCATATTGAATCCAACAATATATAAAAATAATTATACACCATGACCAATGGGATTTATCCCAGGTATGCAAAGCTAGTTCAACGTTAGAAAATCAATTTAGGGAATCCATCACATCAAAAGCCTAAGAAAAATCAAATGATTCTATCAAAAGACGCAGAAAAAGCATCTGACAGAATTCCATACTCATGCACGATAAAAGCTCTCAGCAAAGCAGGAACAGAGGGGAACTTCCTCAAATGGATAAAGAACATCTACAAAAACCCTACAGTTAACATCATACTTAATGGTGAGAAACGACATTTTCCCACTAAGATGAGGAACAAGGCAAGGATGTCCCCTCGCATCCTTCCTCTTCAACGATGTACTGGAAGTACCAGCAGATGGAGGTGAGACAAGGAAACAAACAGGCGCGAACCCGCCGCGCTCCGCCCGCACCCGCGCTGCCCCCGCGGCGCCGCCGCTCTGGGACAGGCACGCAGCCCGCGCCCCGGCCGGCGGCTGCTGTCGGCTCAGCGCGGGAGGGCCTCCCCGCGGCGTGTGGTCGGCGCCGCCGGCCCGTCGTGCACCCGCCCGGCTGGCCGAGCTCCCGCTTGCGTCCCCCGGCTGGTCCGGAGTCCCGACACCGCCTAGACCGCGGCCCCACGGGACACGAGGACCGCGCCCCCCGCGCCCCGGGCGGACGGCGTCCAGGGCTCCGGCCGCGGCCGGGGCGGGCGGGGCTTCGGGCGCGGCTCCAAGCAGCTGGGCATCCCCCCCGAGTGAGCGCAGGGGGAGCGGAGGTCCCCCACCCCCGGCCGGGTCACGTGGGAGCAGGGACGTCAGCAGGGGCTCGGGGCCGGGTCGTGGGGCTGCGGGCAGGGTGACCCCTCCGCCCGGTTCCCGATGTTGAGGCGGAGGACCTTCGGTCTGGCTGAGGGAGCTCGTGCGTGCCGGTGGCTCGGAGACCACCGGGGACGGGGCTTGAGGGGTGGTGAGGGCGGAAGCCGGAGCTAAGCTTCGGGGTCCCCCTTCCCTGCCTCTCTCGCCAGCCCTGATCGAGCTGCCAAGCCTGGCACGCGCCTTGCCCGGTAGAAAACCGTAATGTGGGCCAGGTTGGCTAAATTCTCAAGCCAACCTTTTAAGGTTTTCTTTTCTTTAAATCCGTTATTAGCAGTTGAATGAGAACCACATATCTTTTTTGGTCTGTCTACGTTAGTTTTAGTGGTCAGGACCTGACGGTATGTATAATTCAGCGTTAAAAATACGCACCAGGGCTGCCCCTAGTCTTTGTAGCTTGGGGCCTACATATTGTGTATTTCGAAAATAAGAATCCTTTCTAGAGATTCTGAACCTCCTTAAGAAAGCCCAGGTCTAAAAAATCCAGCTGTTCATGCACCTGATTTCTTCTCCTACCTAGAGTGTGTTTTTTTGGAGAGCTTTATGCACTGAGCTGTAATCTGGTACCTATCTGTTCCTAAGCTATCCACATGAAGAGGAGAAAGAAATCTGAGCCAGAATATGGAACGATGGGATTGATAATCATAGGAAAGATCCTAGGAATCCTGTGAGCATAATGGTTTAGACTAGCCTTGCCTGTGATTTTCAGAAATATTTAATATGAAACTCTTAATACTCAGAATACTTACTTCTGTTGTTTGGCTAACTTTCCTAAAAACCAGTAGATAATCTTCCAGCTGATCTGTCCACTGGCATTTATTATGGTTGGGCCAGTGTGGGAAGTGGAGATGTCCATAGGATGATGGTGAGCATAGGATGGAACCCATACTACAAGAATACGAAGAAGTCCATGGTAAGACTTGTATTTAGCGCTGTAACTGAAAATAGGATGATGATTTAGGGTACTATGCAGTATTAGATGCACATAGAACTCATCTGCAGTAATCACAATATCTCTAAATACTAGAATTTTTGGTGGCAGCCTTGAAGGATTTAAAAGTGAAGTATTTAGTTGCTGTTTGCATGGAACAACTTTTTCCGTCCTTTCACTTTCAATCTATTTGTGTCTTTGGATCTAAAGTGAGTCTCTTGTGAAGGGGATGTAGGTGGATCCTGTTTCCATGCTGCTAATGTCTGCCTTTTGATTGAAGAGTTTAATCCATTTACATTTAAACTAATTACTGATAAGGAAGGACTTCAGCAATTTTGCTGTTTGTTTTCTATATGCCTTATAGCTTTTTCATCCAGCATTTCCTCCATCACTGCCTTTTGTATTTAGTTAATTTTTTTTGTAACGACACATTTTTGATTCCCTTCTCATTTCCTTTTGTGTATTTTCTATAGATATTTTCTTTGTGGTTACTATGGGGATTGCACTTAACATCCTAAATTCATAAAAGTCTAATTTGAATTTACACCAACTTAACTTTAATAGTTTACAAAAACTTACAAATTACCTCCTTATACATTGTGTGCCCAATAACATAGATTAATAATTTTATGCATTTATCTTTTAAGTGATACAGAAAATAAAAAGTGGACTTATAAGCCAAAATTACAATAATATTAATTTTTATAACTGCCCATGTATTTACTTACACTGGAGATAAAAGTGAGGTATTTAAGATCATGTTTCATAAAATGAGCTTGTCACAGTTATTATAATTCATTCACCCTTTAATTATTTGGTCACCCTGTTAAGATAGAACTGCTTACTACGTGGATGGTGTTTTCTGATAAAATTGCAAGGTGATGCTTTTTTTCTCTTTTAAACCACTTTGAAGGTACGCTCTTCTGCTCTTTTCACAGGATCCACACAGCTTGAGGGCTTAATCTGCTAGATATGGCTGAATCTTTTGATCAGCTCCAGTGTGTGGTAAAAACAGAGTTATGGTTGATCTAATTTTCATCCTCTTTGAAGAGTTTATAGAAGAGAAGTGTGTCACAGTTGCAAAACCACAGGGCTAAGTGTTGGTGTAAGCAAGAGAAATGACCCGAAATGACTTAACATTGTGCTCAATATTTCTCTTATTTTTGAATATTAGACATATGAAAATTATTTGTTGGAGTAAATAAGGAAAAGAATTGATGAAAGAACACAAAATATTTTTCCGTAGAACGAGGGAGGAAACGAAGGGGAGGGGAAGCTATCTCATGATTTATTTTTCCTTATTAGCTACTCAGATAACAGAACTATTACCAGAGAGCCAGTTAAGGAATGCCTTGGAAGGCCTTACATAGTTAGGAGAAAATCAATTTTCCATTGATAGGAATTTCATACTTTTCCAACTTTTTCTTTTTCCTTTTCTTTGCCAATAATAGACATCTATGACGTACTTGTTCAAGTCTTTTTCCCTTTTTTAAAAATTGGATTGGCTGTCTTATTGACATAAAAAAGTTCTTAATATATTCTGTCTAGATCCAGGTCCTTTCTTGGAACTATGTATTGCAAATATCTACTCCCACTGTGTTGCTTTTTTGTTTGTTTACTTACTTAATGGAATGGTGTCTTTTGAAGAACAGAGGTTCTTAATTTTAATATAATCCAATTCATCATTTTTCTTTTATGGTTAGTTAGTGCTTTTTATATTCTATTTAACAAATCTTTTCCTACTCCAAAGTCATTAAGATATTCATCTATGGTTTCTTCTAAAAGCTTACTTGTTTTACTTTTCACCTCAAGATGATTTTTGAGTATGGTGTGAGGTAGGGATCAAAATTAATTTTTTTTTTCCCTATTGATATTGATCCAGACCATTTATTGAAAATACTATCCTTTCCTGACAGCACTGTCATGTCACCCTGGTCAGAAATCAAATGACTATATGTGTGAGAGTCCAAAGTGCACTCATACATACTTGGTCTCCTCATCTATCCTTGGGTCATTACCACACTGTCTTAATTTCCATCACTTTATAATGGCTCTTGATATCTGATTGTATAAGCCTCCCATTTTGTTTCCAAGATTTTCTTGGATAATTTTGGCCTTTCGCAATTCCACTTAATTTTAGAATGACTTGTCAGTTTCCATCATTAAAAAAAAATCCTGCTAGGATTTTGATTGGGATAGCATTGAATCTGTAGATCAATTTAGGGAGGGTAGACATCTTTACCTTTTTTCTCAATAATGTTTTGTAATGATCAGTGTCAAGGTCTTACATATCTTAGTTTCCATTTTTTATTATTCAGAATTTTACTGAAAAGAAAGAACGCAAGTTAAATTTATTGGTTCGTAGTACAAAGCCATGGGACACCTTGTGTCTTCTGACTCAAACCCATCAATTACAGATGAGAAAACTGAGCCCCAGCGAGGGCGGGTGTGCCGTTAGCCAAGTGTGGACCCAGACTTGATTCTTAGCTCAGCTCTTACTGCAGTGCTGTCCTGCTTCTCTTAGACGCTTTCAGTTTAGCCTAGTATATAACTTCCACTCTTCTATAAGCAATTTTAGATTTAGTAATCTAACAAAATTGAAGTTCTAATAAGAGCCATATTATAAAGAAAAGTCCTGTTTCTGACATCCGTATTTTCTCTTTTTTAAGTTGTTTAAATCAGGGTTCTTTTTTTTCAATGGGCTTCATTAAATCCATAAATCCCACTAAGTTATGTGCAAAGTTCTACATAGGGACACTTGAGAGAGCCCATTTTAATGACCTCAGAGGATCATGATCCTCCCCCCAGCAAACCAAAAATGTTATGAGAGACTAGGTTATTTTATTTTTTTTGAAGGAGAAAATAAAACCCATCTTAATTTAAAAGTCTCATGTGATATTTCCTTCCTCTTTTTGGTCTGAATCATTTTAAGTGTACATGGAGAAGTTGCTATGTTAAGAAAGAAACAATTACTGAGTGCAGATTTTCATATTTGATTTCTCATTACGTATAAGTTTCTCTTATTATCTCTGTATTGGTTTTATTACTCTGAACGACCTAGCTGTACTCTTAGCTGATTTGTAATAGACACTTCAGTTTCAAGGATCACTTCCTAGATTAGATTTTATAAGTCATACACTTCAGAACATACCTCTGGTCTCAAAATATGTTTCTAAATTGTCTAACCATCCACTTCCAGGGCCACATCCTAGTCCAGCCTCAACATCTTCTGTATTTCGTTTGCTCTCTTCATTGATTTTCTGCGTTTTGGACTCAGGTTTGTCCTTTATAGGAGTCTACGAAAATTCAGAGTCCAGAGCACTCCTCCCTCCTGCATCGTTTTGCTTCAATGTGTCCTCTGCCCGTTTGTCACATCATTCCCGTGTCAGGAACCTGCATTGACTCTTCTGCCCCCACGTCAGCCTCCAGCTCTGCCTGGCCCTCAGGGTTCTGTAACGTGGTTTGTGTCAGAGACGTGGATCCTGATTCACCTCAGAACTAGTTATTTCAGTAGTAACTTCTCTTAATACTTTGCTCATTCCCTCCGTGATGTCTTTGCTCAGTTTTTTTGCCTTGATAAGACTCTTAATTACTTTGGTGCATGTTAGTTTTTTCTATAAACAGCAAATCATACCAGATTTGTGGTGTAACATCTGCCTTACTCAGTTATAATGTTTACATGTAAATTCAGGGGCAGAAACAGGAGCAATGGAAGAATGCAGGAAAAACTGCCCTTAGATTTTAACCTGTCTTTAAAAATTTAATGAGCGTTGATTGTTTCATTTAAATTTCTATGAACGTGAAGATACATTTCAAATTTCAGGTACTCTGTAGTCTGATGGTAATCTTTTTAACATTTCTTGCCTGTAGGAAGCTCATTCGTACACACCTTCAAAGAGGACTCCTATGGGGAAATCCTCAATGTGGCGATCGGTCGCTACCTCAGACCAGAAAGGAACTTCGATTCTTTAGGTAAAGTCTTATTTAGATCTTCTTAAATGTTACTGCGGCTACCTCTGCTGCTTCTACTAGTAATAACCATAGCAGGACAGGTAATATTTGGGCATTTGATATGTGCCAGGCACAGTTTTAAGTGCCTTACATGAATTAACTCATTTCATCCCCACAACAACCATATAAGGAATTATTCTGCCCATTTCACAGGTGAGGGAATTGGCACAGAGAGGTTAAGTAGTTTGCACAGGGTCACATAGTAAGTGATGGAGCCTAAATTCAAACCCAGCAGGCTGGCTGCCTCTCTCCAACAGTATGGAGTTAGTGACATCTTTATTTCCTTTTCATGTTTTAAGGAACAAGTAAGAAACAATACTGTGATGAGTTCTTTGCATTGCTTGAAGTATAAGAAACAGTAAATCAGAACATTTGAAATGAATGGTATCGAGTATCTTAGTGTAGTGTGATAGTGTTAATTCTGTTGTTGAGTTTCTTTCACAGGTGTAAATACTTAAGAGAATTGATAGTGAATGTTTCTTCCGTTTGGTATTTGCAATGTACATTTTTGCTGATGCCTTTTTCTAAGAAATTGCAAGAAGATTAGGGCCATCTTTTCTGTACTGTTCACTTCTACTTGAGTCTGGAAGAAGGGGTGGGACATTTACAGGGCATCTACCCCGTGCTAGAGATGCTGCCAGCCTTGGAGTCTGCAGGAGGCTGCGCACGGGAGTGGTGGAAAGTCCAGCGGCAGTTTCTGATCATCTTCTCCTGGTGTGTTCTCTCTGCAGAGTCACTTATTTCAGCCATTCAAGGTGATATTGAGGAAGCTAAGAAACGACTTAATTTACCAGCACATTTGAAACTCTAGGAAGACAATTTCTTCCAGGTTCCTAAAAGCAAAATAATGAATGGCCACTGATGAAAAGTCATCTTATTCATTCACTGTGTTCTGGCATTTTACTGCTCATCACTGTGCAGTCTTATCTTGGTTCTATTTGAAAAATCAAACATTTTCCTACAGCTGTGAATTACTTTAAACACCACAGTGTAGTTATGCTTAAATTGTTCAGTTAAACCCATCATGCTACAGTACTAAAAAGATTCATTATAAAAATCAAGATTCTTTTTTATGTATGTAATATGTTGGTTAAAGTGTAGAAAAGTCTTAAGTGTCTTATAATGGAAATGAAATATATAGAGTATGGGTAAAAAGGCAAGTCCCTAGTTGGAGGGGAGAAGGACAGCTGTCATGGTAAAATACTAGCATGTCTGTACTTGTGTAGCGTGTGCTGCTCAACACAAGTGATAAAAGTCAGCGGGTTAAACAGAGATTTGATAGTTTATTATAATCCTCAGGGGGAAAATCCAGACTTTATGATACTTTGTGCATTACTATATTATTACAGACATGAAGACTTGTGAAATTTCATTGTAATCAGTCATTTTCTTAATGGGGTCAGATCATTGTACTGTGCTCCATTTTTCTTCCAGCTGCCTCAGTTCTAATTGGTCTAGACTCCTTCAGCCTATCATTTTTTGCTTGTCTTTCAAAGCAGTAACATGAGTGGTTTTTGAACCTCTAACTCTCTTCTTTTTTTTTTATTTTTTTTAATTTTTTTTAAAGATTTTATTTTTTTCCTTTTTCTCCCCAAAGCCCCCCAGTACATAGTTGTATAGTCTTCGTTGTGGGTCCTTCTAGTTGTGGCATGTGGGACGCTGCCTCAGCATGGTTTGATGAGCAGTGCCATGTCCGCACCCAGGATTCGAACCAACGAAACACTGGGCCACCTGCAGCGGAGCGGGCAAACTTAACCACTCGGCCATGGGGCCAGCCCCTAACTCTCTTCTTTTTAAGAGTAGATATTCTTTTTCAACATTTTTCTCTATTTCAGTCTTTTTTCCTTTAACCAATTGTCTGTGTCAGGTTTTTTCCCATTTAAAATATCCTACAACTGTTCACTTACAAAAGATTGCATCTGTCTCTACCATTCCATCCCTTCACTGTATGAACAGTGATTAAGTGCATATCTGTATTACATTTTAGAAAAAACCCAAAAACTTCATCTTTAGGGCTCTTCAAAGTTTAAATGAACACACAGCAGTTCATTTAGATATACTAGCTTCTTAAAGAACACAAAATACTTGTTTTCCCCCAGGGAAACTATTTAAGAGCCAATGAAACTATGAAGCCGAAAGTTATTTATTTTTAATGTAATCATATGTCTCTGAGCAGCTGTACACAGTTGTAGTTGTGTATGTACAATGTAATTGAACGCTAAAGAGTGCTTGTAGTTGGGGAAAAGACATAAATAATAAAATTTTAGCTAAATAATCTTCATGCTATTATAAATCATCTTCATACTATTGTAAACTTTATACTTCATTTTTTCCTCCTAACTACTAAGAAGTGATTTTTGGCCACTTGAGACTTTTGTTTATATTGGCAGAATGTTGAAATCTTTGTATATTTAGGGAGTTAAGATTGCAGACTGTTTGGGCCCCTGAAACAGGACATTGCATTATTGTTCACTTGAGCACCAGATTTGGTGGGGGGATGGGGACAGAAATATATAGAAGGAAATTTTCAAGATGAACTCGTTATAAATCGTTTTCCCTAATCTGCATAAATGAATGAGAGAACTGATTTTAACAAAAATACTTGAAACTATTTAGAAAAACATCTACAGCTCATGTTGGGGGGGGGGAGCATGGAGACATTCAGGTGGATTGTGTTTTACTTTTTGGTGTATGAATTTATGGCAAACAATGTAGTGTGAGTCTTTTCCATTTCTTCCTTATAAAAATCCTTAGAAAATGTAATTTAATGTTAGAAATCCTATATGTGAAAGAAGCCGCAATTGTCAGTGGCTCGATGAAGCAAAGTTAAAAACAAGCATGGGAAGTGCAGAAACAGACGTATGTTTGAATAGCCTGCTGCTAATTGTGTCCTCGTTAAGCGTGTGAAAGTTCTGTGACACTGTCGCCGTACATTTTGTTAAATAGCCATCACTGAGAATCATATAGTATGCAGTTTAGGAGTTAACAGTGTCTACATTTTTTAAAGTTTTATATTAAGTGTTTATGTATTAGAAGAAACTGCAGTAGTACCAGTTTTTATTAGTCTGACTGTTTTCAGGTCTGGAGATCAGTCTTGACTACGTGGTTTCCTCTCTTCCTGGGTCAGCGGCATCTTTGCCTTGTCACATAAGATCCTAATTTGTTGGCTGATGCTTCCTTTCAGATGTGTTAGAGGCTTGATTAACAGGTCACAGGTGGCAGCTGCAGGGAGAACCTGGCGTGCAGTGGTGGGCCTGCAGCCAAAGGCCTTGCCTAAGAGCCTCTGTTTTTTATGCCTGTGGCACAGTGACAGGTCTACTTAGAGAGAATTCATAGGTGACAGGACTCTCAAAAGTCCACTCTCTGAGAGTGAGGGTCCCCACGCCATTTTGGAGTTAGAAGAGCCAGAGGAGTGTAAGTGGATCTGAGTCCCGTTCCATGATTCCTGCTCCTAACAGGGCTCTGTAACCTTCATGACTTGCGCCACCAACCCCATGGCAGTGACCTGGCACTCTTGCCTGGCTCTGCTGTAAGCAGGAACGCACAGTTGCTCTTTCAGCCTTCATCTCCAGTGCTCTCAGCCATGGAGGCATAAAAGCCTGCAGTCAGGCCTGGCACGTGACACGGTTCTGACCAGGGAGATGGAAGCAAAGTCCACTTGGGATTTATGAGGACAGCTTTGCTTTCCTGGCGAAAGTGCCAGTCTGTTCCTGTTCCCTCTTACCTGGAAAATGGATGTGAGGCTGATAGAGGAGAACCAATCTGACCTTCAGAGATGGAGCTGGGAAATAAATCCACCCTGTAAAAAGAGATGCAATCGTAAGCAAGGGTCAGAGAAATGAATTATAGAATAAGCCCTAGGAAGATGACAGATGTAGGGATTATCAGACACAGAATCTGAAATGACTGTTGCATATGTGTAAAGAAATAAAAGAGTGTCAAAATGGTAAAATAACAAGGTTCTATAAAAATTGGGCTGATTTAAGAATTGTCAAAATAGTATTTATAATGATAAAAAATAATTGAAATTAAAATCTCAGTGGACGAGTTAAGAACAGTTCAGACACAGAATTGGTGAACTCTGACATCTGACGAAGGCTAGGACTGTGCTGTCGTGTGCCTATTATCTGTCACTCCAGATTCACCTTCCGTACTCTGTGATGTGGCTGTGACTCGACGTTTCTTTGACAGTTGACTTCCTTTTGGGTCAGGTCATACATGGAGTCTGAGCCCCAGCTTGTGTCCAGACAGCTCAGTTTGTCCGAGGACCTCCCCTGTACTTATTTCCCCTGATCCTGAGTGTATTTAGAGTACGCATACTTGACAACTGACCAAATCCCCACTTTGGTTCCCTGACCATAACAAGAGCCAAGTAGAAGCCAGAACAGTAAACCAAATCAATGCGACATCTCAGGAAATTTCAGAGAGCCATCGTCAAAAATCCTGAAAGATTCAGGGTAAAGGCTCCCCTCCTATGTGTTCAGACCAGACAGAAATTTGACAGATCTTGGAGAGTGACTGCATTATCATAAACTAATCAGGTGGTGACCTCCACTGCAGCTATTGTCCAGGATACAGAAAACAGATTTCCAAGGCTTGGTATAAAGAACATGTTGATCACAACACCATGGGGAAAAATCAGTACTTTAAAAATACAAAAATATCCCAATGGAAAGCTGTGTCAAAATGAATGATAATATGCAACATGCAAAGATTTATGGGATGCTGCTAATGCTTCCTTCAAAAGATTTATAACTTTAAATACATTTATTAGATAAGAAAAATCAATAATCTAAGCTTTGATCTCAAGCTAGAAAAAGAACAGCCAAAGAAACCAGACAAGAAAGAGTATA